TAAGAAAATGTTTATCTCTCTGAGCCTTGCCTTCATAATTCCATTCCATCACAGGATGACTCTTCAGAAGAGTTCATTCCACTCCCTTCTTCGTAGCATCTGGAACAATTTCAGGCAGTGACAAACAAACCTTATTTGGGCGAGGAAATGATCTGACCTTGCAAAGGACTCAGAGTAGTGTTCTCATGTTCAGATAACAAATCAACTACTGTGAGGCAAAAATTAGGTCTAGCATATTTATCAGGCCAGTGATTAAACAACTCGGGACCATGGCTGCCATGGATGGTATGAATTATGGAGTTTTCCTAGACCCCAGACCCAGGACAAGGGAGTAGAAATCCCCCAGCACCAGTAGTTGGGGAGAGGCCTACACCAACCTAGTGACAAGATCCAGCTTCTCAGAAGCTGGGCTTCTGCTGGGCTGAAGGGTGGGCAGTACCCACACAGTATTCCCAACATATCCTTACAGCCCCACTTCACACAATGGCACTGACACCCTGCCACCTGTAGAGCAGTCACAGCTAAGGTTGGCACCACCTCCTGTCCCTGCCCACAATGGCAACCCAAGAACAAGGTCAACAGCAATCCAGTTTTCTAGGTTCAGGAATGCTGGGTCAGAAGAAAGGACTCCATACAGAGTCTTATGTGGATGTGGACATCTATATAAATTAGATAGCTAGATGATAGATAGATGATAGGTAGGGAAAGGGAGAAGGAGGGGGGGGTAGAGAGAGAGCCTTGCTGCCCCTTCAGTGCAGTTCATCTTGGCTAGCACAAACTCACATACAGTATAGGAGTATATTTGTCAGAGTGAGAGTCAATTTGGAGTAGTGGTTAAGGTACCAGCCTAGAAACTGGCATATCGTGCATTCTAGCCCCCACCCCTCCTTAAGCACAAAGCCCCTTCTCTCAGCCCTAGGAAGAAGGCAGTTGCAAAGCACTTACAAAAACCTTGCCAAGAGAAATGCAGGAACTTGTCCAGAGAGTTGTCAGGAGTCAAGACTGACTTGAAGGCATACACACTGACACACAAATTGTTAGAGTACATCAGGAATGGACGAATCTGGAGTTTGCATAGAATTCAGTTCTATACATTACTCTCATAAATATATCATTTTTGTATGGACCTTTTTCCTAAAATACACTTTTTATTGTTGGTGAACTGCATTGCAGAATTTGGGGAACTGCAGATTTCAAATGATATTTGAGAATTTTGGTTCATGTATGGAAATTTTGGGGACGCGGTGGCGCAGAGGCTTAATGATGCTGAAAGTTGCCGGCCAGAAATGGTCGACACTTCAGCAGTTCGAGTCCAGCCTTTGCGTTAGCAGGGTGAGCTCCTGTTTCCTCCCCAGTT